AAAAAAAGTTTTTAACGTTACTTCTCATAACAAAGTAATTATTGAATCAAAAGTACAAACTGCAAATTATTCTGCAGAGCGAAAATACTGCAGTAAGGTAAATGTCCCAATTATGAAACAACTTCAAAGATAAATGTCCCAGTGTATAAAACATTTTGAAACCCGTTATAATCAATATATTTCAGAATATTTCATCGTAAAAAAAAATTAATACAAGAGGATCAAAGTTGTACAAAATGCAATCAATCAATATAATACTTGATTCAAAGCTTTTTACAGAATCTTTCTTGAGTTTCAGTGTTTCAATGCGGTACAGTTAGAAACATAACCAATAATACTTAATGTCCGGGTGATTGAAACACACAGACTTCATTTAAATAACACGTACGTTCCATCGAGTGGGACAACATTGTAAAGCACGTCCTAGTGTTGAAACAGTTAGTGTTTCATGTGAAGGACACCTATTCTGTCTTAAATTTTCTTAACTTAAAGACATTTGACATTAAGATAAAGTTCTGAAAAAATTGAAAACCCATACGGTAAAACCATATAAATTCATATCGTTTTACCGTATGGTCAAAGGAAGGATCCAAACAATCGATTGTTATCCATGGATGCACTTTCAATCCATGTGGATTTAATCAAAATTTGTCTTTGATTGTATGCTAATTTTGAAATTATTTCACTCTGACCGTCAGCCTGAAATCAGTCTCAATCCATCATGTGGAGTTTAAATAGATTTCAGGTAGAATATAATTACATTTAACAAAGCTGGATGTCCGTTATTACAACCATACATGATATCCGTATGGTAACAAAAAAATGGATTGGTTCTAGCATTTTGTATTTAACTGTCGATTTGTTATAAAAAATTTGTTACTAATTCTACGTTGCTACTTTCATGTCACATACTTGAACCCATCACTTTTCTTGTGACAATATGGATGATAACACTGTACATATGCTTGATACTTCCGGATATCTCACTATTACTTATTATTTGACTGAGGATATTATGTGGTAAAAAATTTATGTAAGATCTCATAATCAAATTAAAGTCTATCAAACTTTTCTACAATCTAGCGGGCGCATTGAGACGAATTGCATATAGATGATCAGAATTAAAGAAGTATTAAATCTGTGTACAATTTATGACTGATTGAGATGCAATTGACTTAGATTTAAAGTGGAAAATATCCAGACTTTTTTAAGTGACAAGGTTAAGACCCAGCAGAAAACAGAATAAGCAAAATAAGATTAGGAATATTTCCAAAATCATCAAGGCTTGCAAATCTTATGCTTGCAAGCTTGCAAGGCTTATGCTGAATGCAGGTATAGCAAATGGTTCTGTCTGTATAAAAATCCATATGGAAATCCATATAGATAAATCTATATAAAACTCTATTCGGATAATTACTCTTATTGTGTATTCTATTCTTACACTGCTATTATGACAAAATAAAAATTCCAGATAAAAATCCATATGAATTGTTCCATATGGATCCATCCATATGGAAATCTTCAATCCAATAAATGCGGAATACCATTAGTGCTATATGCATTTTACGCTTATGCTTAATGCAGTGATGACAAACGCATACGTCTATGTGAAAATCCATATGGATTAATCCACATGGAAATTTAATTGGATGAATCCATATGGATTT